ATATCGGTTAACTGAATAGTCAATTGACCTCATGAATTCTTAGCGGTTACTCGACTATTCTATAGTCCCGGGGGGTGGGGCCAGCAGCCAGTGCGCTACGGCTCCACTCCCAAGGAGCCGCCCACCTCCCCCCCGCCCCGCTGCTACTGCTGGGGTGCCAGGCGGGAACTGGTCCGAGGGGAGCCCGTTTCAAAAACAGCTCCCCAGGCAGACCGGCTGCCTGTGACCCTGCAGCAGCCCCTGTCTAGGGTGGGGTCTGAGCTCCTGGACCTGGCGCTCGCGGGAACTGAGCCGGGCTGCCTGCCTACCTGGCTCTTAAGGCACTTTAAATGCAGAGCCGCAGCGGGGGCAGCTCTTGGGCCAGCACAAGCCTGGACTGGCCAGGCTGCTAAAAATGGACTGGGGGGGAGGATGGAGGGGGAATTTGTGTAGTCTAAAGCAAGGGGTGCGGGAGGGGGAGATGCGTGTAGTCTATAGTGAGGAGGGGCCAGGAGGGAGAGAGATGCACGTAGTTTAATAGCGAGGGAGGATGCGTGCAGTCTATAGTGAGGGGGGGCATGAGCGGGGATGCGTGCAGTCTATAGTGAGGGGGGACGTAAGTGGGGATGTGTGCAGTCTATAGCGAGGGGGGGTGCAAGGGAGGATGTGTGCAGTCTATAGCGGGGGGGATTCAAATGCTGCCCATCTGATTAGCAAAGCGTCCTCAGTGCCCTCCGCCAGCAGCATGTGCTTCTACTGGTGGTGCACATTTGCACAGGTCTCGGTGCACTCAACAAAATGTATTCTGCACATGGATGGGAAAAGCAGAGATCACTGCTTGCCAAGGATTATGCAGCTGGGCTGTGGCAAATCTGGGAGCTGACGAAAGGTCTCCTGACATCACCCTCCACTAAGTTAAATTAGTGAAAGTATTTCTGTTGCTGCGGGAGCGCTGTGCTTTGATCACAGGAGGCCTCCCTGCCCTGGGGCTGGTACTAAAGTATTCTGCACATGGATGGGAAAAGCAGAGATCACTGCTTGCCAAGGATTATGCAGCTGGGCTGTGGCAAATCTGGGAGCTGACGAAAGGTCTCCTGACATCACCCTCCACTAAGTTAAATTAGTGAAAGTATTTCTGTTGCTGCGGGAGCGCTGTGCTTTGATCACAGGAGGCCTCCCTGCCCTGGGGCTGGTACTAAAGTAAGTCTTGTTGTTGCTGCCTCCGTTTCAACCTTTCCAATCCAAGCTCTCTTTCCACAGGAGTTTTCCATAATTACGGCTTAAAAAAAAATCTTTTGCCAATGCTGTATCTGTAGCTTGCTTCCTTTTGGGTGTGGGCTGCCCTGTGTTGAGAGTGCTGCTTTTCTGCCAGACCGGTCCCGGGGTGGTGAAAGCTACCTGGTTTGTACAGAGCCATGTTCCCTCTGAGCTTTTCTATCCCTGCGCGGAATAAATTTTATGCATGCTGAGGCATGTGCAAATGTGCACTACCAGCAGAAACACACACCTAGCCTGGGCATGCCCGGCTAATCAGCTGGGCAGCACTGGATACTTTCCCGAGTGCCCAGCATACAAGGAACACTGGTACGGGACCCCATATGAATCCCAAATGCTGGGCCTGACCTTGCGCCAAACGAAGTGGTTTTCTCTACCCTGATTCTCATTTCATGTTGTGCTTCTCCACCTTTCTGATACTAGGGACTGGCTTGCTGCCTTCCTAAACTCAGGGAGATCCCAGGGACTGGTGCCAGACCATAGACTGGTCTTCGAGAAACGCTGGTCTTGTGCATTTCCCTTGGCCAAGACCAGATTGTCCCTTACAGATCAGTTTCTTCTAGTGCTTTGTCCAGTCTAGCTTTTACAATTCTCAAACAGTCCGGCTTCCACCCCTACTCCCTTCTCGGTGATTATGTTCTCCTTCCAAATAGATCGGAACTGATGCATGATGCAGTTGAGACACATTTTCCCCCCCGCAATGAAACTGTGTGGAATGTATTTGCAACTATATGCCTGGAAATGACTCCTTCGTGCCAACCATGGCAGTAAGAATCGGTCTGTCCTGTGTTCCTGAAGGCTGCGGCAAACTTTTGCATGCTGTAAAAGTGTTCTGATTTCCTCGTAGCCAACCAGACTTTAATGGTTTGAAAATGAACGTGTTTGCTCGCTCAGATGGAGGCAATTTGAGAGAGAAATAGCAACTTTGTGGGACAGCCGAATAAAATGAAAACAAAATGTGGAGACTTTCGAGACTACTGTCAAAATTTCCCAACGCACGGCACCATCCTTAAGGTCTGGCTTCGGCACTCAAGTCTGAATGGCTGAGACTGAAGTACAGATAGTAGTTGGATGGAAGATGTTAGAATTAGTTTATTTTGGTAACCGTGTACCTGCTGAAAATCTACATTTACTTGTGGGAGGGGGCACAGTGGTAGGTTGGGAGAGAGTTGGGGGGCTTCAGCCAGGCTGGAACAGCCCTTCTGCTCGCTTCCCCTATAACCAGTTAACCAATATGTTAACTGGTTAGCCAGTTAAATGGGATTTTACATCCCTAGTTGGGACAGCTAGTCAGTTACAGTGTGGTGCAGGGGGCCATCCTCTCTCCAAATCCGGTCTTAGTTCCGAATTTCTAAGCTCTTCTCCTTTTCACCATCATCTTCTTTTAGAAGGTTTTTAAAAAAGTCTGTGTCCGTCTCCTGGGACCTTAACTCAAGTGTCCGCGTGTGTGTGTGTGTGTGTGTGTGTGTGTGTCTGGGATTATTATATTGTAATGGACTTGTGATTTAGGAATGCTTATATCCCCTTTTCATATGCGTAATGGCAGGAAGATCTGTTCTGAATCGTGCATGTAAAATATGCTGAGGACACAGAGTGCTTGTTTTGTAAACAAGGGCCTTTAAATAGGCATTCAGTGACTATGCACTGTCCTTGCAGTCAAGCGGTTCCAGAATATTAGACACGCACAAGGTGGGTGAGGTAATACCCTTTATTTCCTGTTGTCTCTCTCCCCAGTAGAAGTTGGTCCAATAAAAGAGATGACCTCATCCTCCTTGTGTCTGTTAATTGGCTGATCCTCTTTTAAAAATGACGTGTTGGAGTGTTTCTCTGGAATGTGCATGCAGCATAACTCTGGAGGGTAATTTGTCTGAATGTGGACAAGTTACTTAGTGGAAATACAAGTAGGGTGAGAACTGAATGGAGCAATAAGCCTTAAAAGGTGGTGTGTATTGGACAAGGGTCTCGTTCCAATTGGCACCTTCGCGCACCAGGGTGCGTGTGTCCTTGAATCTTTTCAACCCACTGACCCCACACCAGCCCAGGGGGGCAAACTTCCCCACAGCGGGATGAGCTGGATTCTGGGCTGGCTAAGAATGGCTGTACTGAGTCAGATTAAAGGTCCATCTAGCCCAGTGTCCTGTCTTCCGACAGTGGCCAATGCCAGATGCCCCAGAGGGAGGGAACACAACAGGTAATCTTCATGTGATCCCTCCCCTGTCACCCACCTCCAGACCAACAGAGGCCAGGGACACCATTCCTGCCCAGCCTGGCTAATAGCTGTTGATGGACCTAACCTCCGTGAATCTAACTCCTTTTTGAACCATGTTAAAGACCTAGTTTTCACCACATCCTCTAGCAAGGAGTTCCACAAGTTGACTCTGTGCTGCATGAAGCAAAACTTCCTTTTGTTTGTTTTAAACCTGCTATCTATTCATTTCATTTGGTGACCACCGAATTTCATTTGGTGATGTCATCAGAAAGTTTGTGACGTTCTTTTTACACTGTAGCATCTTTGTCACCGGAGGAGGGGGAGGGGCTATGCCTGAGCCCTGGTTGAGGCGTTTCTTGTCAGTCAGCCTTATGGAGCATAACTGAGTCACGTGTGGAATCCCACAAGGCTCTAGGTAGAGCCCCATGTCCTCGTTAGTAGCCTCCGTTACCATTTGGAGGAAGTCTTGATTGTGCTTCCATCTACTCGGCTCTTCCTTGCAGTCCTGAGCTGATCAAAGCTGTCATGTGTCTGTCTGCATGTGTTGGGAGGCTGGGCCTCTGAGGCCTTTTTGTAAACAAAATTTGGGACCTTCGTGTGCCGAGCCTGTGGCTCACTAGAGTACCTAGCTAGCCAGAGAGCTAGCAAAGCAGGCGTCGGTTAACCCCATGTGTTGTTCGTGCGGCAGGGGGGCCTGAAGAGAAGCGGGGCACTTTGCAATAAAATAGGGCCCCAAAAATGAGGCATTTCCCTAGCCTGGAGTGGTGGAGCAAGGGACGCTGGGTGAGGTCACGGCAGCTGGGAAGGAGGGGTCATTGGAAGGGGCATGGGGAAGAGGGGAGAAAGCAGGTGGCGCCCAGGGCCTGGCACAAGCTGGTGGTCCAGAAAGCTTGGCTTGCTCTCACCAGACCACACTCTCTGGCTGTGGGATGGGACTCCAGTCCTTAGTGGAGAGAAGGCTGGGGGCTCCGGAGCCCTGTGTGGTGTTTTCTCCGCCAGCGAGTGGCTGCCTGACCTTGGGCAAGTCCCTTTTCCTCTGGGGGAGGGCTCTGCATCTCCACGTGTAGACGGAGACTCGCTTTGTGGGGAAGGTAGAGAGGCTTTCCTGGATCCAGCCCCTGAGGATTAGGGATCCCTCCTAGCCCAGCGTTGGGGAGCCCGTGCTGGTGCTCCAGCCTCCTCCTCCCCCCCCCCCAGTCCTGCCACAAAAAATCTACGAGCCTGGGCCTAGGTTCTGGTGTGGGAGGGGAATGCGGGGAGCGTCTTTCTCCTCAGTCGGGGCCATGACAGGGAGGGCTTGGGGCCATGTCAGAGGGGGCTTGGGTCAGCAGCCCTGACCCCAAAAAGGCCCCCTTACCCTTTCTTAGTGACTGGATGAGCAGTCAGCAGACCTGCTGGGTTCGGTGGTCCTCCTTTCTCCTGCTTTAGGCCTTTCCTGCCCAGCACATTCTGGAAAATAACAGCCTCTCCCCCCCCTTTTCTCTCCCCCTCCAGGTGGCACCACAGCCTCTCCCCCCCCTTTTCTCTCCCACTCCAGGTGGCACAAACTCCACTCCAAGCCGGGGAAGAAGGAGAAGGAGCGAGGCGAGATCCAAGTCACCATCCAGTTCACCCGCAACAACCTGACGGCCAGCATGTTCGACCTGTCCATGAAGGACAAGCCCCGGTCGCCCTTCGGCAAGCTGAAGGACAAAATGAAGGGGAAGAAGAAATACGACTTGGAGTCGGCCTCTGCTATCATCCCCAGCAGCACCGGCGCCCTCGACGTGGAGGACGACGAGGCGCTGGGGGGCAAGAAATCCAAAGGCAAGGGGGGCTTCTTCAAGAGCAAACTCCGCAAGTCCTCCCTGACCCAGTCCAACACCTCGCTGGGCTCCGACAGCACCATCTCCTCCGCCAGCGGCAGCCTGGCGAACAGCTTCGGCATCACCGTTAACGTGCCCGAGGTAACCAAGTCGCCCAGCCGCCACAGCAGTCTGTCCACCGAGCACTCTGGTAAGACGATGCTGCTTTGAATCGCTAAATACGGGGCTGCCTAGGGCACTCGGGGAGCACGGGAAGGAAGTGTCCTTTATAAGTGAGACCCACTCTGAGTTTGAGCAGCAGCGGCTCCGGTGCTAGCCGGAAGGTGCCAGTAACAAATGTTGGGGGTGCCTTTTCTGATACCGGCCTGACAGAGCTGAGGTTGAATTCCCCTGTTCGTACACAGAACTGGTCTGTAGCAAAGCAAAATTCCTCCTCAGTGCCCTCCCCACCCTGAGGGAGATGCCATCTCTAGGGGTCAGCTGTCCACCCGCTTCAGTTCAGGAAAATGGTTTTGAGCGTGTGGTCCCTACGTTAGAAGAGCAGCGCCCTTCCACAGGGGTTGCGCTCTTTCCTCGGGGTCGAGACTGTGCCATTGGAAAGAGGAAAAAGCCCCCTCTGTTAATCTGCTCGGAGCAGAGACGGGAGAAGCGGCGACTCCTCACATATGGATGCCAGGAGCTGTGTGCATCCGTATGATCAGGATTCACTGTGGATCTTTTCTCTCTGTTCATAGATTGTAGCACTAGAAGGGCCCTTGAGAGGTTGTCTAGTCCGGTGTTTCTCAGCCAGGGGTACAAGTACCCTCAGGGGTACTAGAGAAGTCTGGGGGGTGCGTCACCACAACTGAAATTTGGAGAAAACTGAATTTTTGTTTGAAGTTTTCCAGCGTTTGATTATTTTTGTCCTTTTTACACCCAGAAATTTCATCGTCCGCCCGGCTATGATGTTGTTTAAACAAATGTGTTGCAATGGTAGAAAAAAAATTGTGTGTCTGAAAACTACCCCCAGAAACTAGTTATAATTTTTTTTGAAAGGGGGGTACTTTAGGAAAAAAAGGTTGAGAAACGGCAGGACTGAGTGTTATCCAGACCAGAATTGGCAGTTACCGCAAAATACAATACATGTGAAAATTCCCTTCACTCCAAAGGCAGGCCCTTGGTAACACACGTATTAATGCATTAAAGCCAACCAGTGCTGCGTGCGCCCTTCCGTCCGGTGCCTGGCTTGAGCGGGGGCAAGAATGCGTACGATTGCCGCTCCCTGATCCCCTTGCACAAGGGCGTGCACCAGTGGGAAAAAACAAAGCGTAGTGCATGAGAGGGTCTCCTCTGATGGGACCCATTGAATGCCCGGCACCTCTCTGCACTGCGCTCCACACTTAATCCTTGTGGAAAGTGGCTGCCCTCGGAGACCCGGAAGCGGGAACGAACGCGGGGAAAGCTTAAGCCACGTTTTCCCACCCGCCGTAACGTCCTCCGCTCAATGGACTGTTCTTCCCCAGGCAGCATGGTAGCGTGGGATTGCGGAGAATCTTGGGGGAATGGTCCTTCCCCCATGTAAAACGGTAAACGATGCTTCCGGCCACGTCCACAAACCGCTAAGGTCTTTTCTGGCGATTTCTTGCCTCTATTAATTCTCCACTTTCTCTTAAAGTTAGGTGTTATCCTCTGGGAAAACTCCTTTCCTCCTCCCTTGAGCTTTCAGCGAGCAGGGATGTAAAATCCTGGGGAATCAGTTAACTGGTTAAAGGTTAGGTTTGCCTAATGGTTAACCTGTTTACTGACTAACAGCGAGATCTGGGCTGGGGACTATTCCAGCCCGGCTGGAGCAGCCTGCAGAGAGAGGGGCTGCTCCCAGCTTCCACATGGCGGCTGGGGCTGCTTCCAGCTCCCAGCCCCCTGTCGGAGCAGCCCCCTACTCAGAGCAGGTGGGGAGCTGTTCCAGCCCTTACTGGAATCGGTAAGCATCACCCGTTCAGTGTTAACTGGCTAACCTTTCACATCCCTACCAGTGAGGTCGCATTGCCGCTCTTGGTGAGACCGCTATAGCTGTTACAGCAATGTGTTCCTGCCCGAATCTCAGTATTTATTATAACGATGTTCTATGATGAGGTGAAGCCACAGGTGGGGCTGGAGGGTGGGGAGTTGGTGTTGTTCTGCCAAGACCGTCTGCACTGGCAGGTGGTGAGAGCAAGAGTTGCTGTGTGAAATACCTGGGTTTAAGGCAGGCAGTCTCATTGGTTGTTGCTTTCCCTCCCCTTCCAGTTAAAGACTTTCTGCCTTCGCCCAAACTGACCCACAAGAGAGCATTCAGCGATGAGGTCTCCCAGGTCAGTGCGGTGACTGAGCCGAAAGCAATCCAAAGCCCGAAGCCAAAGAATGACTCTGTCTCCAGATCCTCTCTCTGTGTCAACGGAAGCCATGTTTACAGCGATGCACCTGCACCAAAGAGCCCGACACCTGGCGTACGTAGCCCCTCGCCGCTGCCCACTCCGCAGAATGTCGCCAGAAAGTCCGGAGAGGGTTTCCACGCCAGCTTCCCTCCTGCTGGCTCTGAAGACCTGCCCTGGAGAGTCAGCAGCTTTGAGAAGGGACAACAGAAAGAAGAGCCTCGATTCCTTCCCTCTCCTCCCAGCTTAGCAATACAAGAAGAGGACAAGGTGTCAACCAAAGCTGTGACGCTCAGCAACCATCTAGGCAGAGCCAAGTTGGAGGAAGGCAGCCGTTCCGAGACCAAACCCGTGCAGGTCACAACGCCGATGGTCTTCTCCAGGGAGGTGACGAAAGACAAACCTCTGGAGGAGACCAGAAAGGAAGACAAGAAGTCCAAGGTCGGACTCTTCCACCACAGTGGCAGCAAAAGCGAGGCCGGGAACAAGAGCTCGGGGGAGAAGCTGGGCTCAGCCGTGACGGCCTCCCCACACGTAACAGCTGGTGGAGACGAGAAGAATAAGAGCAGCAGCTGGTTTGGACCCAAGGACACCAAAGAACCTTCTCATAAACCCAGGTCAGTAAAAGCAGCTGAATAGAAGATGCTGAACACAGCCCCGCTTCTGAGGCCACTGTAGGTCTTAACAAAGCTGCCCCAAGAGACCATCTAAAAAGGGGCGTTCTTCGGGTGGTTGCTCACGTCCATTGCATGGAGGTGAGCGCGCATCGTGTGCATGGATCGTTGGAAGGCTTTTCCCTCAGCGGTGCCCGTTGGGCCGGCTGGGGAGCCCCCTGCCTGTCCGGAGGTGAGCGCGCATCGTGTGCATGGATCGTTGGAAGGCTTTTCCCTCAGCGGTGCCCGTTGGGCCGGCTGGGGAGCCCCCTG